ATAAGCATATATGATATAGAGATCATTTTAATTTCACCATATAAATTTTCACTGATAGACTTTCTTGTTTTGCATTCATGACATATTACTCCGTAGGAATACATGATACAAATGCAGCAGGCCATGCATGCATGCATGTGTGATTAAATATGGGATTAAGAAATACCCATGACAAACTCACTAGAGACTTGAAGAAACATTAACGTGATACTATAAAGAGAAAACCAACTCAGTATTACCTTTTCAAAGGATAAACTTTCCCGTAAAGCATTAATAGTGGTTACAGCATAAGAAGTCAACCCACCAACGCAGGTGGGATCAACTTCAGCCAAAGCACGTAAAGTTAAAGCAGCCTCAACACGTACCTGGAAAACACAAGTTTAAACTTGTAATTTATGCATTTACAATTACCATTGGGTTGTCATTTGACCCAATGTACCCCAGATATTCATGTTTATGACAGGCAAAACTAAATAACGCTGCAAAAAGCTGCGTCTGAATATTCAGTATATCAAACAACTACATTCAGAAGAGCAACCAGAAATTACTGTGATAACGGCTTCTTCCAACCTTCTATTTCTACGCATAAAGGTTCTGTTACATACCTATTGATTACTTTGAAAACGGCCTATTTAACCTAACATTTCTATTTGTAAAGATTTTTTTACCGAACTATTGATGGGTAGACTTTAATTGTAGAGACGAAACATGTCTTTCAGTGCAATTGGTACTAAAAAAAGAAGCGCGTAGATAAGGAAGACTGAATCTAGAAGATTGACAGGATGAAGAATTTCAAAATGCTGAAAAGTTTATAACTCTTTGATAAATGCTGCAACGAAAAGAATAAGAGATGAAACGGACTCTCAAAAATCTTACAAGGTCCAAGATATGTGACGATGCCGCACCCACTGTGTCATCAAAAAACTCCCTGAATTCTTGGGGAACCTGCAAGCAGGCAGATAGAAATGAAGCTTATAAGTTTCATTATTAAATTAAAGAAAAAAGAACTTTCAAGACAGCAAATCAGAAGCGTTTGCGCCCGGTAGCAGACTCACCTCTCCCAGTGTTTTCAACGTGTATGACAGACCCCGCAAAGCAACAATTTTCATTGATGGACTAGCATCCGAAGACTGAAGCTGCATTTGTTTCAAGAAAAGAAAAAACATAACTTACTTGTTCATGATGTAGAAATATAAGTTACATTCTTTAACAAAGGACAAAGAGCGGTTCAGATAAACAGTAAAACCTGCTTTCCGAGAAAAACAGAAAAGCTTCTCTGGCTTGGTTCCATCATTTGATCAATTACGCCAACCCGCAGGATGTACAGAACACATGCCTTCAAAAGTGAGAATTTGAACTTAGAAATTTGATTCAGCAGAATATCACAAATGTTTTCATAAGAGTTAGCAATCTCTTCTATTTTTTTTCAAGCTATGCAGAGCGAAAGAAAAAAAAATGAATGATTCCCCGCATAGCCTGGAGTTGCACGGTGATATTTTGATAGACAGAAGTACGTAACTGAAACAAGTATCACGTACCAGGGCATGGGCATCAATTGAGGAGTCACCCCGCAGCATGTCCATGACAAGCAAAGAATAGTCCTGAAGCTCACTATCAAGACCCAAATACCTAATCCTATTGGCCTACAAAACTCAACACTTTATAAGTTTATAAGGCCATGGTGCTGAACTGAACATATGTATGTACAAAATATCATAAATAACAAGACTCTAAGAATAGGTTCATACAAGAAGTAAAATGCAGGTCTTATGATATGGCAATATAGGGAGTACGCAGATATAACCCGTGATAACAATTAGTGTGACTTCTGAAATAGATCAGTGTCAAATTTCAAGAATAATATGTATCATTGTCTCTAAAATGCAAAATCTAATAACCGCACAAGAACCAGACAATTGTTTTTAATAGCTTCCAGCGTCTGTTTACCTGTAAAAAGAACACCCATGACAGTGCCAAACCAAACCGCTTGTTTCTTGCTCGTGGGCCAACCGCTGCGATTTAGGAATTGTTTATAACGGGAAAAGTCAATGCCTTAGTAAATGAAAAATAAAGAAAACAAATTTATTATTTCAAGAGGTCAAAACCATATGCTAGTTTCTAACTAATCAGGTATTTTCAATAATAATATGTGTGTCATTATGACTGCTTTCTCATACTTAAAGGCGCATGCCTCTACACAGTGGCCGCATTATAGGGACTAAAGAAGTTCTGCCACAATTTTAGAGGGAAAATCATAAATGTTTAAAAAGTGTGGCAAAACACAATTGCTACTACAATATGCCATCATATTGTCAGAATGGCTTGCAATTCTGTCTTCATTGGCTCATAATACTACCTTTTGTGAACGGTAAAGTTAGATGCCTCTGCAAACCACCTTCCAGTTTCTTTGCTGGTGGAAATGGACCTTTGCCTCTAGGTTGGACCTTAAAAACAAAATTCAAATTCCATAAACACAAAACTGTGAAGACGAGAAGGAAGCAAATAACTAGAGAAGTAAGTCTACATGCGCTTCAGGATGCATTCCTAACGCAAGCAATGAACCCAAACCCTCTGCAAATGCCTCGCGGACAGATGATTCCGAATCTTCAATACCCTACATTAAAAGAGGCAATCATATATTCATAGATAAACATCAGCCTACCTAGACAATGAAAGAAGACCGAGTTCAAGATATACAGGCCCTATCACGTCAAACTGACCTTGAGACAGTAAGACGCTAAAGTATCAAATTCGCTAGTACCAAGACCAGGTCCTCCAATGTTGGAAAAGGCCTTCAAACAACGTGCAGCAGCAATTCTCACTACGAATGATTTGTCCAAAGTGGAAAACCTTGTGATCAGACGGTATGCTTCAGAGTACGCAGTAGCAGCAGCCGTACCACCGCAGCCGTCCAAAGCATTGTGAAGCAAGATAAAGGCTTCTTGTCTCACAAAATCCTGCAAGGGAAGCACACAATTAAATGCCACTAATAGCTGCACTATATAGGTCGGTTCTCAATGATTTTTACATGTTTCTTGACAAATAATGATAGCTGGGCAAAAATAAACTCAATGATTGAAAAATGAAATAACAGCTTCAGAGACTAAGAAAACGCAAAAATAAGGTTCATACACCATATCCACCAGAGATATTAGGACACAGTAAACAACGGTTGCAGAACTTTAATCCCTACACTGCCAGAAATCTATACTTATTTAAGAATTTTAAAGTCGTAAACTAAATAATCCAACTGGATCGATGATAGAAAGATATGATCCAGGGAAGTCGATTATATATGGTTCTGCTAAAGCAATTAAATTTACTCTTCCAAATGACAGCAAGAAGTTAGAGAATCGTAAAGTTGAGCCAAAATACCTCGTTAAACTTCACTAATTTTGTGACAATAACTGTTGTTTCAAACAAGCCAGAAGTGATTTTTCTCCCAAAATAACGATACAGCTCCCCCAAGCATTGGGCAGCACCTAGAGAAAAAAAACTTGTTATCTATAAACTTAAGAACATAAGACCACATAATTACCCTTTATGTTCTACTTAGGAGGGTGACAAATATTAATTTTTTATTCAAAAACATCGCTATAACCTAAACATCAATATTAATGAGCAATAGCTTCTCAATAACAGCTTCCTACAGATATTACAACCAACCTGCAACTCGCTGAGGATCACTGCGCTTGCCATCCGAGAGAAACCCTTGTAGACTGCTAGCTCTGGAGTATATAGAAATACTATCACCATTCAATATAATCTTCGCCATAGCCACTGAAGCAAGATGCCGCACGGGTCTCCTCGCACCAAGAGTAACTAGAGAATACAAGGCGTCTTCGCATTTTCTTTGACAAACTAATATAGACTCCTGACATACATACATACATGATCGTTAAAATCAACAATCAGATAACACAATCAAGTTCAAATATATTTTTTTCAAAAATATAAGCAATTGCATTCTTTTTTTTGTAATCGTGAAGTGTAATCAGGTCAATGCAAATGATAACTAAATCTCAGATGCGTAACTGAAGCATTGTAAAGCGAAATCTAAGAACGATCAGGCGACGAAAACCAAAACCCGGTTTAGAGAGAGAGTGGAAGAAGGACCTTAGGCTCTTCATCGAGAGCGGAAATGAGATCAGAGAGGATCTCGAAACAGAGGAGAGGGTCTGGGTTTTTCTGTGATGCTGACGCCACAATCGACTCCAGCTGTGCGACGAGTACGCCGAATCGCGACAGAGGAACATTGTCGATCGCATTATTCTTCGACATTTAGGACTGTAGAAACATATGACTAGAAAAAACGATAGAAGAAGAAGGAAGAGAGTAGTGAGAGAAATGAGTCAGAATGTTTGTTTCAGATCTAGAGGGAGGTGAGTCGGAGAAGAAGAACTCGGGAGGTGTTTCCGGGTCGGGTTTAAAATTAATTAAATCAACAGGTCACCCGATATTACACGGGCCAATGTTGGCATTTATGGGCCAGGAAGGCGGATACAGAAGAATTTTCCCAAGAGGGGCAGATAGGTTTACTAAAATCTTTTTGAGTAAAGTCCAATGTTTCGTTGACTTTATCCTCTTAAACATTTTAGACATAGATCTTCAAATTATATGGAAACAAAAATTTTATTAAATCTTTTGCTAAATGTCTATAATAACTCCCAAATTGCCAGATTTGACCTTAATTATGTGATTATCACAAGGCTTTTAGTGATAAACTGATAGGTTTGAGATTGTTGTACCCAGTACTTGACGTGCATCTATTTTTCTAGGACTAAACCATCACCTATTTGTTCTAAAAAGAACAACAATTTGAGGTATCCAAATTATCCCAATATTTTTTGCCATCGTAAATTTTTGTACTTATCCGAAATATTTGATGTTTTATTCAAACATCAAAAAACTATCTTTGTCTATAAATTATTCGAAAATTGAAATCAAATTTTATTGGATACTAGAGTGTCTAACATTATTATCAAAACCAAATCAAAAACCTAAATAACATAATTGAAATTAACCAAACAGTATAACCAAAAAAATTGAATTGGAACCGAGGACCGAATGCAGAGTCTAAAGACACCCTGAAACCGGCAAAGCTGCAACCTTCGACGTCGACTAAATAATCAATTCCACTAAGCTTCTTCGATTCATCCTCTCAGACCATCCTTCACTGCTTCTAAGGTACGAATTGTTAATTCCCTACTCATTCCTCTTCCATCGTAGACTTTTCAAACCCTAGATTTAATCAACGGTATCAATCACTTGACCCTTCGTGTTGATATCATACAACCCTAATTCCACCTGCTCTAAATCGATTTCCCAATCAATACAATCCGATGATTATGACTTTGACTTTGATTGTGTAAATAACTGTCTCATCTTCATCTCTCTCAGTTTTTTCATATCTGGATGGAAAGCAAAGGAAGACATCCTCCTCCACCTCATCATCTCCGACATCCTCTTCCAATCCCCGTCATGCCTCCACCTCCTTCTCAGCCTCCCTTCCCTTCCTTCCACACGCTCCCTCCACCTCAACTCATGGAACAAAAACTCGCCACACAACACGGCGAAATGCAGAGACTAGCAATCGAGAATCAAAGACTCGCCGCTACACACGGTAACCTAAGACAAGAGCTAGCAGCTGCTCAGCACGAGCTGCAGATGCTACATTCCCAGATCGGGTCAATCAAGTCCGAGGGAGAGCAGCGGATGAGCGGTTTAGCGGATAAAGTTGCGAAGATGGAGAGTGAGCTGAGGAAGTCAGAGGCTGTTAAGATGGAGATGCAAGAGGCGCGTGCGGAGGCGCGTAGCTTGGTGGTGGCGAGGGAGGAGCTTATGTCGAAAGTTCATCAGTTGACTCAGGAGCTTCAGAAGGCTCGTGCTGATGTGCAGCAAGTTCCGGCGCTTATGTCTGAACTTGATGGGTTAAGACAGGAGTATCAGCAGTGCAGGTATCTGTTCTAGTTTTTAGATGTTAAGTTTGTTACTCTTATGGAGGTGGACTAAGGATGGTGTTTGTTATGTGTGATTTTGCAGGGCGACTTATGATTATGAGAAGAAGTTTTATAATGATCATATTGAGTCACTTCAGGCTATGGAGAAGAATTACATGACTATGGCTATGGAAGTACAGAAACTTCAAGCGCAGTTAATGCACGGAAGAGCTGGTATTAAAAACTCTTCTGTATAGCTTCATTAATTTCTTTTTTTTTTTACAGTATTTTTATAAGCTTTACTTGTCAATCAAATGAAGGTGGCGCTTATGGTAATAACAACACCAATGCTGAACATGACGCTTCTGGCCATCAGAATGGCACTGGATACTATGATGATGCTTATGGTCACCAGGTTAGTGAGTTTCTCTTTGCAAGACCTTTCTTTTTGACTCGTCTTGTTGTAGTCTAGTATGTACCATATAACCATCATAAGAGGCAGAACCTATACACTTCTAGACTGATAAGTAGAAGCGTGAGGTTTAGATGTGGTTAAAACTTTGCTCGATTTTGACCTGCTTGGAGAAGATTTGAATGTGGTTGAGCTTTAATATGTTTTGTTACTTTTGCAGGGCTATGTTCCTCAACCAGCAGCTGGTACTGCAAATGCACCAAATCCAGCCGTTCCAACAGCTCAATACCCTTATCCAGGAGGATCTCAGCCAGGATACTTCCCTCCAAGACCCGGTTACTACTTCCCAAGAGGCCCTCCTCCTGGTTCATATGACCCATCAAGGTTACCCGCAGGACCACAGGGAGGTCCGTTTCCTCCTGGATCATCCAACAATACGCCTTACGGCTCTGCTGCAACAACTGGTCCACGTGGAAACCCCAGTCGTAGATGAAGCTACCCAAAACAGAGTACATAGTGATAAACAAACCATCCTCTATCCCTTGTTAAACTGAGGAATTATTGCTGGTTCTGGATTTACTTACGTGGTCAAGAGATGTTATTGTTATCTCATTTTGTAAGAGCTTCTTGACTTGAATTTTAATACTTAAAAACGGATTATAAATTAAATGAAAGTTATATTTACCTGAATGCATAGTGTAGTCTCTCGTTTTCAAATTCAGTTAAATTTTCCAAATTCCGAACCAAACCATTAACCATAAAACTTCAACTAATCTTCACTTTTTTTTTCACTTTAAACATTAAATAGCAGAAAAAAAAAACAAATCTCCTTGAAAATAATTAAAAACTTGTTAGTTGGATACCGTTGGTTTCCACGTCCCGCCACCCAAATCATATAATGATTAATTAAAGAAATAAAAGAGTGTTATTTATTTTTCCTTTATTTTTCAGTGAAAATTGAAAAAAAAAAAAAAACCATTTAGTCGTCGCCGTCGTCTCCCTCTCTCGCCAGATCGCCTCCTCCTTCCTCATCGCAGATCCACCGTCATCGCCTAATCTTTACAAAATTGGTATCTCATCTATCTTTTCTCCTTCCAATTCTAATAATCTGTCATTTGAATCGTTAGATTCCGATATTTCCACGGAAAATTCAAACAGATTATTGCTGATTTGAGATGTAATTAGATCCATCTCTCTTGTTCAAGATCTCTTGTTTTTTTTGTATCTACCAGGCGTAGCTATGGACCATCTCCCCGTTGAAGTCATCGGAAACATCCTCTCACGCCTCCGCGGCGCGCGCGACGTCGTCATAGCCTCCGCAACCTGCAGAAAATGGCGCGAAGCTTACCGCAAGCATCTCCACACGCTCTCATTCAACTCCGCGGATTCCCCGTTCTACCGTGACCTCTCAACAAACCGCCTCGAGATCCTCATAACTCAAACCATCTTCCAAACCACCGGCCTCCAAGGCCTTTCCGTTATGATGGACGACGCAAACAAATTCTCCGCCGCAACCGTCATCGCGTGGCTGATGTACACTAGAGACACCTTACGCTGGCTATCTTATAACGTCCGTACGACGCCGAACGTCAACGTTCTTGATATCTGCGGGAGGCAGAGGCTTGAAGCTTTGGTTCTGGCTCATAATTCGATAACCGGTGTTGAACCGAGTTTCCAGAGGTTTCCTTGTTTGAAATCTCTTTCGTTGAGTTACGTTAGTATCTCGGCCTTGGATTTGAATCTTTTGCTTAGTGCGTGTCCCGTGGTTGAGTCTTTGGAGCTTGTGAGTCTTGAGATTGCGATGTCTGATGCGCAAGTGACGATTGAGTTGAGTAGTCCCACTTTGAAGAGTGTTTATTTCGATGGGATTAGTTTGGATAAGTTTATATTAGAGGCGGATTGTATTGAGTTTTTGCATATGAAAGACTGTGTTCTTGAGCTCTTTGAGCTTATTGGAAACGGGACGTTGAAGCATTTTAAGCTTGATGATGTGAGTGTTATACATCTTGATATCATGGAGACTAGTGATAGCCTTGAGGTTGTTGATGTTAACCATTTCACTATGGTGTGGCCGAAGTTCTATCAGATGATTTCGAGATCGCAGAATCTGAGGAAGCTTCGTTTATGGGATGTGGTGTTTGATGATGACGATGAGATCATTGATCTTGAATCAATTGCTGCTGGTTTCACGCAGTTGACTCATCTTTCGTTGAGCTACGACTTGAAAGATGGAGCTGCTCATTATAGTTTGCAAGGGAACACTTTGTTGGAGAATGTGACTGTGTTGGAGCTTGGATGGACTGTGATCAACGATGTTTTCTCGATATGGGTCGAGGAGTTGCTGAGAAGATGTCCGAATCTGAAGAAGCTGATTATTTATGGGGTTGTTTCAGAGACGAAAACGCAGGGTGATTGTCAAATTCTGGCGACGTTCACGTGGTCTATTGTTCAACTCATGAGGAAATACATTCATGTCGAGGTACAATTCGAGTATGAGTAATCGGTTCCTTCTTCTCGACGCTGTTGAATACAAGTTGAAGTTTTGTAAAGATTCAGTTTTGAATTTTTCTTCAACTCAGTTCTCAGGTTACTTTAAAATGCATTTTTCGTTCCCTCTGTTCCTTTTATGTTTCACATTTTTGGCTCTGCAGACCGGAATTAAACCGGACTGATAAATGCATTCTGTTATACGAGAATCGGAAATTTGTTGGTTACCTGAACCGAACAGGTTCTTAGATGGAACTTATGTTTTGGAAATAGAAAACATTTTTTCACATTCTCATAATATATGTTTTTGCAAAATACAAATGCTGGTACTAGCTATTACAAACTGTAAAAAGAACACTATAAATACCGGTTTCTTCGTTTCAGTTTACAAATCTCTGATAACGAGCTATTGACATATTGCGTATTTAAAAGTAAACGAAGGATGGAGCGCTGATTTTTTTCTCGACCGACAATATATTACACAAAAGGATTTCTGTCAGGGAAAAAAATCCATCCGTCAATCCTCAATTCGACCAGACTAAATCCAAATACATTAAACGTAAGGTTATATAGTTTAGATTACTCTTAAGTATAGTTTAGATAGGAGCAAACCAAAATAATATTTGACTCGAATTAGCTTGTGGACCGAATCAATTGACATTAACGACCGCTATCTCACACACACTACTTGTGGACTGTATAAAAACGTATCATGTGATCGATATCTAGCTAGATGATATCATTGACGATTCATTTTCATCTGTCTAGCAGTTTCCTATTTCTTGTTAATTCTTATATATATATATCTGTTGTCTTCTTCCTCGATTGTAGAGGTTGTTTTGGGTTTTGTTAGATGCAACTAAGGTACACTTATTGGTAAGATTTTGTCCTCGCACTGTATCTGTTTTTGTCACTGATAAAAACTTATTGTCCTCAAACTATTGGATCTTAGTGTTGTGTAGTATTATTCTCTATTTCTTGTCCTTTTGTACTGTCTGGCCCCAAGCTCCATGCCTTCTTTAACTCCAAGAGTCCTATATATTTATACAAACTACTACTGAAACTAGAGATGGCCAATTTAAATATATAGTTTTGAACCCTGTATCCCATAACTTAATTCAACTATTTGGACATAGATTCGTGAATCTCAGATAACTGTACAAAAGATAATAGTATTTTTTTTGGTTATCTAGATAGATCATATGTAACTAAATCCAATATGAAACTTGAATTTATAGATCTTTTGTGAATTGAATTTGATATGTGTCATCACCATAATCAGTTTCACCAAAAAATTATTACATGTACACTAATAATAATGACATAGTTTGGAGGTAATTATGACATGTATATTTGTATTTAATGTTAATTATATTTACGCTAAATTTTCAAAATATGATAGTAACTCATAAATCATCATTATTATAACAATAAATAATATAATATTAGAAATAAAAATATAATAATACTTACAATTTTTGAAGTATTGTTTAAGTCTATTTTATATAACGATATAATTTTTATTAATAAAAATTCTTTAAAAATTTATACAGGTTTTCAAAAAATTATAACTTTCTAATCTCAATACCATTAGTTTACTTATAACATCTATAAATTTTAGAAACATTATTCAATTTTATGTTTGATAATTATATACCTAAAAAAGTTCTTTTAATTATATAGAATCCGATTTAACATATTTTAAGCAAAAAAATCTTTTCAGGAATATAATTTTAAATATATACATATGTATTATTAAATATAAATTTAAATAAAGTAATTTATTTCAACTTAACATAAAGTTAATAATGTAAAACGAAAATTTATTTTTAAAACTCTTATTTTTGTACATGGTACAGGGAAACACCTAGTTAAAACTAAAAAAACAAATTAAATTAAACTATATAGGGGTTTTATAAAAGTAGAGCTCTAGGATATTTTATAATAAGAATCATTTTGTTATAAGTAATATCTAACAACATTATTACATTCATGGTTTGGACGGATTAATAAATTTTTTTTGAGTATTTCAAATCCATGGAAAAGTCTAGATTAATCTTCAAATGAGTGGTACAGTTACAAATGGATCCTCATTCTAGATATTCAAATAGACCGTAAGATACGTCCATATCTGCATGGTCACAAGATAAGATATAGCAGGGATGCTTTCGAACCCAAATTATTTAGTTAATTCCAAAGTTTATCTCTACCATCAAACTACCACCTTGTGGTTTAATTATTTTTCTTCAAATACAAATATAAAGTTCCAACATATCCTAAGTTTTTTAATTGATCAGAACGTATGATGGATATATACCAAATATGTTAGTTGATCATCCTAAATGAATCCCACTAAATGAGATATATGTAAAATAGAACTATAATATTGTAATTGTATTGATGTCACTCTCTCCACATTTAGTATTTTACAAAGAAAAAGAAAGAAGACGAGGATTTGGTTTGTACAGATTGGTTTGTAGTAATACATAGGCATGGACATGCATGCCTCTTCACCTACTTAAGAAACCTCTATTATGTCTGAACCTCTTTTTTAGGTTATTGTTTAAGAATATATCAACCTTTTGACAAACGAAAAGAAACTTCTTGATTGTAAACTTTATTTCTCGTCAACCTAAGCCACAAATCATACGTTAAATCAAAACTATTATATATATATGATGTATTTCTATGAACTTGATCTTCTATCTACATCTCTAATTCCATTTATATTTCTGATTCGTAGAGTATGGCGTTCGTTTACCGATCTATCACAAGCACTAGTGTAGTATTAACATCGATCTTAGACCGAGAAAACTATAGATTACCGACCCTCGAGAATATATTTACCGACCCTCGTTTTGTATGTCAATTAATTAAATAATTGTAATTTATATTAAAATTTTAATTTTAAATATTATTTAGGAATTAATTTTGTTAGGTGGGGATACACCAGACGTACTGACAATATAAAACAAAATCTCGATACACTATTTTCTAGATTGTGATATTTTACCATACAAGATAATCGGAGGAATTGTGACAAGAACTGTTTGCTTAACAACAAATAAAAAAAGGTCTGGTCTACAGCCTTGAGAACTCACCAATCATTCTTAGTGAATGATAATGAATCAAATAATTAAAAGACATAATGTGAATTAATATTTGCGGTTATGAAACTTGTTTCTTTTTTTAGATGTCCTTTTCCACTGGTTAAGCACTGTTTTCAGAAGTGGTTCCACACATCTTTTCTATGGGTTCTGGACAGTTATGAAAAGAACTTATAATATGTAAATTTTAATGTATTTTAGAGTGAGTAAATTTTAAAATATTTTGAAGTTACATGAGGTTCTAAGAATTCTTTAGATGCTGCAAGAAAATCAAGAAGGGAATTTATCTACTTTGAAGAGGAAATTGGACGGTTTAGAAGGTTCTAAATATTCTGCTTTTTGTCTCTCACATGGACAAAACATAACCTTGCATATCTTTGGTGGTTATGTTCTTTGTACGTATGAGCATTCGGTAGAATATTATAACTCATCTCATTCTTTTTCACACAAAATATATAAATGCGACAGATTAGTAGGAGGTTATAATGGAAGACTTGGCCACTAGGAACATGGGAGACAAAAACATAGCAGAAGGAGAGTTATCAAATTAAAAATTGAGGCTGCTTGATTTCTTATTTTTTCGTTTTCTCTTGTGTTTGAAATTTGAAATTTTACAATTTCATAAGGCCAATGATGCTCACTTTAGTTGTTTTATCCAGAAAGTCTGATTCGAAATATCATTTTTGTCTACCACATAAAATGAGAATTCGCAACTTGACTGATAAAATGAATTGTTTCATCAAATAAAAAAATATCTTACTTTTATTTCCAAAGTACTATAGTTGACAAAAAAATAGTAATTTCTAAAATATTGTTAGGACTTAAAAACTAATACTCAATCCCAAAATCTGTAATTTCGTTTTAAAAAAAAAAAAAAAAAGAAGACTAGTAAAGCCCCAAAATGATACCATATTTTTTTAAAGCATCCCTCAAAATTGTTTTTCGAAGCAGAGATTAGTGAGTAGAAACACTAATGACCATTAATATTGATTTCACATATTCATCATCCATTAGCCAAGATGAGATCCATCACCCATGACATCATCCATATAACCTTTCACACATACATACACACGTACAATAATTTAGATGGATATGTATAAACGGATGCGTACACGCAAGTCCATATGTATGTATGAATATGTTTTGGATGGTAAAAAGGATGAAAATCAGAAAGCATAAGTTCTTGAGGTGGGAGAGTCGGCAATCCGAAGAGTTTGTTGGATAATTTTGTGTGCTTTTCTGCTTCTTAACTCAAATCTCATACTTTCACTTTTCTCTATCTTCTCATACGATGAGGATGATGACGACGATGTTGATGATAATGAGGATCTCTTCCTCATCCTTAGACTTGCTTTAATCTTCGACTTCAAGCCTTCCACAATCTTCCCAAATCTCATCCTCACCACAATCTGACTTCTGTATAAAAGTAAACTGGAGATTATGAACCATCTATGTATTGATTATATATCCACACTTGGAGATAAAACATCAACTCAATAACGTAATCCAAGATACCTTATGTCCACCTGATAAACATGAATAAAAAGAAGTAAGTGGCTTTTTTCATTTGTGATTTTTCAACAAGAATAAAAAAAAATTGAACTAGCTAAGAGACTATTGATCCTTATGAGTGTATTCTATACGTATATGGGTACATATATACATGCAACTGTGTATTTTGATTTTATAAACTCAAGACGAGCAATTAAGGAAATAGAGTCAAAAGAGAAAATACCAATAAGAGAAGAGAGAGTTGAGAGATATCGAACCTCTTGGCAGTGTTACTTGGAGATATTAGAGATGGTGGAAAGAAATGGAGAGTAGAGGATATATATGTAAATATATATGTGTAGTATATGTGTTACATGTGGTTGGAGGCTGATGTCAAAGGTTGTGACTTGGGACTTGTGACTATGTGAGTCTCGTGACCTTATTTTTTAATCGTTAACTAATACAGTGTTCTTTAAAAAACAGGAATATATGTATAAATATTTGTGGTTAATGTATGGGTTTGATTAGTCAGAGATATAAATTTTAAAGAATCACCAAATCATGATTCCTTCGTTAATTATGAATTATTTTATTCCCTGCATTATGCATCTCCTTATCAACTTATATTACGTTTCGTAATATCATGAGTATTGGAGGTGAGTGCCAAAGAGAGGAAGATGAAAAAT